ACAAAAGGGTGTGAAATATTATCATAATAATCAATGCATATAAGTATATATATATATATATATATATATATATATATATATATATATATATATATATATATATATATATATATATATATATATATATATATATATATATATATATATATATATATATATATATATATATATATATATATATATATATATATATATATATATATATATATATATATATATATATATATATATATATATATATATATATATATATATATATATATATATATATATATAAGCATATAATACACATATTCCGCATTTCTCACCACTGTTCATTACTATCATCATATACATCACAATATATGTATAAACAAATATGGATAATCACTAAACATGGTTCATCATGCGCACATCCATAATTCTCATCAATTCACATAACATACACATATGCATACATTCACACAACATTTATCTCTATGCCATGTGACTCAATGCAACTCATGCCCTATGGTACCAACACTTGTTATCATTTTTCAGTTTTTACATTTAAACCGGGTTCGTCCTCTAGACCGATAACAACAAAAGCCCGTCCTCTAAGCTTTCAAATCCACTCTTCTAGGCTTGGGATAAGTCAATAGTCTCCACAAAACTAGCAAGCATTGCATCTTGACCAAATGATGCGTATGCAATCAACAACCAAATGCACTTAAGACCGTTCTTGCATCTTAATCTCATGCATTCTCAAATAATTCATCACATAAGAATTATAACATGATTGCACACTCACATATCATATCAAAGTATTCATACTTCCAACATCATCACATTTATCAAGCAATGTACACATATTCACAATATGTTCTCATGCATTCTTCACAATATTGCATATAATCAATATGCATTCACAATTCAATACCATCACCATATTTATCAAACAATGCACACATATTCACAATATGTTCTCATGCATTCTTCACATACAATCGCATACAATCAATATGCATTCACATCATCGTGCCAAACAACAACAAACTTCATCACAAATCATCATGCATTTTTAATCAGTTCAAACAATGCACATATTTGTCAAAGGAACCACATTCCACAGTCGATGCCACAATCTAGGATTCATGCCATACGACTACCCACAACATATATATAACAACACACAATTACTCATTTCAGATCAAGATTAAACACAATCGAACCAACAATCAACATTGGATGGAATCATAAAGAAATGAGAATGCTATCACGCTCGCTGGCTTGCTCGCCTAGCGAGTTCCTAGCGAACACTTGCTACCTGTTCGCCTAGCGAACAAGCTCACGAAGGCAAACAAAAGCTACTGTAAGGCTTCGCTACTTACTTGCTGAGGCTTCGCCTAGAAAACCCCTCGCTACCTCGCTCGCTACTAGCGAAGAGGGTCAATTACATTCTGTCCAAGTCTGGGACCATTCGATACTAGCTCGCTACAGCGAACACTCGCGACCTGCTCGCCTAGCGAAGGTGCCAGCTAACGTCTGCGATGTTCAAAACCCCAACTGTCCAAAATTTATCAGAAGCTCCCAAATCACTCGATTCAATTCCAACAAGTTCCAGTAGTCTTAGCCTAACAATCCTCGACTAATCTACACCATTTAATCCAACTTCTAACCGTTCAAACATCGATTCTACTAATTAAATCTATTTCTGCCCTAGAATGGAAAAAGGAGAAAAACATCCAAACCATCCAAACAATCCATACATAATCATACACATTGACAAGATAATGATATTTCACACCCTTACCTTGATTAAATCGAAAGCTAGAAGTTGTTCTTGAGCTTTCCAAGCTTTTCCTTCTTTTCCTTTTCTTTCTCTTCTCATTCTCTTATGTTTTTATATTCCCTTTTCCTTCCACTTTTCCTTATATGTCTTTCTATTCTATTTCCTTCCATCATATTTCTTCACTCAAATATCTACCAATAATTCTAATAGTTAAAATCATCCAAATAAATCAATTAATTAATGTAAATAATTAATTATTGAAAATTGGGCTGTTACACTTCCCCTATACAAAATTCCAGGAGCACCTCATTTCCATTATTACTTTCGCCTATCATCTCGCCCAGCGCTGCCCGAGCGAATTAGTTTCGTTTGGCGAAGCATATGGCTCACCCGACGACACGGAAATAACAAATCTACAGTTGCGTTTTCTACACCAGAGTAGTCCCAAATTCCATACGATTTCATCACCCTTTTCATCCAAAACTCATATGATTCAACATATATTCACAATACGATAATAATACATCATAATAGACATTACCTATACCAAATCATAGTATTTCAACATCATAAACCATCATAAAATTATCACGATAGCATGTATTATATTTGCACACGCACCTCACCAAATCATCATCATGTAACACATCATAACATAACAACATGTGATAAATTAATCTCATAAACACATATATACTGGAATCATGTATCAAAACACTCATATCATTCAATCATAATGTAGGATCACGTCAACTTTCCAACGCTTCGAACGACGCATCAAACGAATTTCTAAAACTCAAGTTACGACACTTTGAAGGTTCTGTTTGTTGCCTCTCGCTTGAGGCTCGCCCGACGAAGCTGGGGCGACTGCTTGCGAGACAACACTTTTCAGCCTGCAATTTTTCGCGGTTGGAGGCCTTTTGGACCTCCGAATTCGATTCCGTAAAAAGTCTCAAATTCGTAATTCAAAATCCTACGATTATGTAACATCTATAACAACCCATAACACTTACTTAGAGTTCTTAACATCATGCAATCATCAAGGATTCATTCATTCATTCGTTCAATACATGGTTTTCACCAATTCCATCAATCTTCATCAAATTCATCGCAAAAAATACAAACCTACTAACACCTTAACCTGATATCAATTATAATAGACGCGATTAAACCCCTTACCTTAGTTCTTAACAATCGATCTCTTTCAAGCTCTACGGGATGAATTCCCCTTCTCTTCTCTCTGTACCCTATCCGCTTCTCAATTTTCTCCAAAAGTCAGGATCATACAACATGACCTCAAATTTTCTTATTTCTTTATTCTAATTTTACCCCTTGGACCCTTTATATACTTTTCTCATCATACCCTCAATAATCCCCACCATAATTACCTTTTTGCCCTTATTTTCTCTTTTCACCTTATTATTCTATTATCTTCATTTATTCTAAATAAAATAACTAAAATTATTATTATAACTCTAAAACAATATAACTACAATTATTTAATTATAAATAATTGTAATTAACACCTTAATCCACCACTACTCACAACATGCCTTAATCAACAATAATTCACATATATTCACCAATAAATCATAATTAATCAATTATAAATTTTGGGGTGTTACACAAGTTGTTTCTACGACTTGGAGGTTGATTTCTTGAGAGCATGGTGAAAGCCAGGATTCTCAAAAAGACAATGGAAGGTATCTATTGCGGTTGTAATCGTTGATAATTATTTGATTAAATCCTTGTGAGAAGGCAAAATCACATTGATGGGTAGATTGGAGTAACTTTGTTAACAATGAACCAGGATAATAATAATTGTGTCATTTATTTTTATTGTTAGATTTATCTTTCTAATTCTGCAAAAGGGGACAAAATGTAAAACTCAATTCAAACCCTCATTTCTTGTATTTCTCAACCCTTTATAAACAGAATTATCTTTCTAATTTCGCAAAAGGGAACAAAATATGAAACTCAATTCAAACCCTCCTTTCTTGTGCTTCTCAACCCTTCATAAACAACAAAAAGTGAATTGAGTTGAACTACGACAAAGAAGTCATAATTGACAACAACAAACAATATTAACATGAACGACAATCAATATTGAGTTTGACCGTGATTATGTTTGAACGACAATAATATGAAAAAACTTAAAAATTTGTGAGGTTGTAAAAAGAATACGAAATTCTTTTTTGAAATTGGGGAATGTATGTTAAATTTTGATATCGACATATTAAATTTTTAAAAAAATAAAAAAAATGATCAATTTGATGCATTTTCTCGAAACAGACGGTTTTACGAAACCGGCTACGGTTCTTTGGTTCAAGTGATTTTGGACAGTTTAATGCGGTTTTTTCAATTTTAACTCACTGACGATTTTGAAAGGTTAACCTAATTAGATTTATCTCCGATTCTCGATCTAACCGGTTGAACCGACCGATTCAATTTTTAAAATATCAATATCAATCTTAATTACAAGCTAGCGTCCAGACGGGCACTCCGTCCCCGTCTGTCCGCTTTTTTGTGTGCTTATTTTTTATTTTAATTTAAATTTTATATAAAAAATTGAATGAAATAGTTGTGCAAACCACCATATAACACTTAATAAAAGAGAAGGTAGTAAAAGAGAAGTTAAATTTTAAAATAAAAAATAAAAGGGTATAATTGGAATAAAAATAGGCTACACCAAAATAACATGGTTTGTCTTTATATATGTTATAAATTTAAATTTTATATAAAAAAATTGAATAAAATAGTTGTGTAAACAACCATATAACACTTAATAAAAGAGAAGAGAAATTAAATTTTAAAATAAAAAATAAAAGAGTATAATTGAAATAAAAATAGGTTACACCAGAACAACATGTTTTGTCTTTATATATATTATAAATTTAAATTTTACATAAAAAAAATTGAATAAAATAGATGTGCAAATCACCATACAACACTTAATAAAAAAGAAAATAGTAAAAAAAAAAGTTAAATTTTAAAATAAAAAATAAAAAGATATAATTGAAATAAAAATAAGTTACACTAAAAAAAAAGTAGATTACTAAATAAAAAAAGAGTAGATTACTAAATAAAACCTATTACTAAGAAAAAAAAGGAAAAGAAGAAGCTAGGTAATATTATTGTGCCGGAGGAGGACTCCTGGATCCCGATCCAAGCGTGAGCAAGTCCAATAAAAACAAAGTAAACATAATTACTTAGAAAGCAGACTCGGTTGCTCCGCCGCGCCGAGACAACAATGACTGTACTCCGCTTGATTCTGGCGGTTACTTTATTTCTCACTTGCTTCATCTCTCTCTCACCAGCTTTCCAATCCGACGAGCTTCTCCTCGACGACGAAGAATTCGGACTTGAGGGTGGACGCCCTCAATCCCGTTCATCACCTAACACCGCCACCACCGCCACCACTATACCCACTCGCAAGAGGATTCCAGACACCGCTTCCGATTCCAAGATCCAGTTCACACTTGAACACGCTTTCGGAGATTCTGATTTCTTCGAAGCTGGTAACTTCTCCGCTCGCCTCAAAACATGGAGTCACGGTGCACAGGTTCTTCACTTCCCTTTCCTTCGTCTTCCTCAACTTTTATTCATTGTTGATAATTTTCAAACCTAGTATAACAAATGGTGTTGAATCGATTTTGAATCTGCTTCTATGTCAATCCTGCAATTAATCGATTTTTAATCTACATATACTTCAACTTATTGTTCTGTGTTCGAATGAATTAATACAATTATATGCTGTTTTACTGAAAATCAATTTTGATCAATGACAGACACTGACGAAGCTGCGGTTTTCACGAGATTCTTTCACTGACTACGGGAAGAATAAATTTCAAGTAATTATCGTTTCTTTCCCTTGGAAGTATATGTGTTTGAGTTGTTAGCACTTAGAATTGTATAAAGATTTGGCACTGTTATCATTACAGGAGCTGTTGAAAGGAGATGATTTCTATAGGATTAGACTGCCATCCAATGTTTTGAACCCTCCAGGCAGGGAATATATTGTTTCTTCAGTGAAAGCTGTAAGTTTTAATTTTAATCCAGTCCTTGTCCAATTCGTAATATGTATATGAATCAAAATGTTCTTAAGTTTTTTTTTTTCCACTTAAATTGATTATTCATCTCTTGGTTTGTTCTGTACTCATCACATGATACTGAATTATATCAATAATCAGTTTCTTCTCTTTTATTTTTTCTTGCCTATCTTTCTATTTATGTATTGCAGTAGCTTGAATCCTTGTAATGGTGCTACTGTTTTGGCCACTAATTTTATAGTTGCAGCTCTTTTATTTGGTGTTGTGGTTATTGTTTACACTGCTGTCTCCATTTAGAACTGACTGTTCTGCTTTCTGAATCCAGAGATGTCTTACGGGGGATGGTTTGGAGGAACACTTTGTAATACACACGGTAATTTACATTTGTATATAATGAAATATGCTTTTTATACTGTATTTATGCTCTTATATCTGCAAAAATAACTTCTTCTCCACTCAGTTAAAATTTTGATACACGAGGGTTTATATTCTCTTGTGTCATTGGAAAACCAGTCTTAAGTCTCAACAGTTTGATGGAAATGGGTAAAAATAGTTGTAAATTATAGCTGGTTTACATGGGATAATTGATATGTATTACACAGCTGTGTTTGTGTTTATTTAACGGCAACAAGAATAAATACATGGATAAAATCAGATAATCTGTTGAGCTCAACCGAAATCCATTTTAGCAGGAAAAATCCATTGAGTGGGGTTTTTCGTAACGGCTTCTCTTGATGTTATCTTCAAACTATCTTTACTGTTTTCAATCTTGTTTTAGTGCTTCATTCACCTTAATTTATTGAATCAGCGATAAAAAACATAGTTTTTACCAGCCTCTTCAGTGGTTTAAACTCTCCTAGTTTGTTCATCTTGCATACCTTTCAGTGAATAACGAGTAGAAGTAGCTCCTTGATCCTTTCTCAATGTTTTTTCCAGTGGTCCAGACTTTTCTATCTTCATTGTTTATTCATCCTGCACTAGATCTGTGCTTGTATATATGTTTTCCCCTCATTTCCGAACCCTTTTGATTCACCAACAGCTGCTTTTGCTACCTTACAAAACGTCTTTTAATCAATAATGTTGTTTAGCCAAGCTGTGTGCATATAAAAGTACCCACCCCTTGACCAACACAAGGGCCCTTTTTACACATAATGGGTTTTCCCCTCAAATTTTATATAAAGAAAAAAATGGAAATCTTGGACCACAACTAGGTTTATTTTCAACTATTCAATAGCTGTAGTTTTTTTAGTTAGACAGTTTATTTTGGAAAAAAGGTAAATAAAATTGGTTTTAATAATCTAATGAGTTTTTCACGAGTCTTGTTGATGAGGGCCTTAGTAGTACACCATAAGCTTACATCCCAAGGAATAAAAAATGAAAAATATTCAATGAGTATAGACCACATACCATTTGAGAAATTTGAAACTTAAAAATGCCCTGCTTTGTGTTTAATGCTCGTAATTTTTCAATTCTAACTAAAAAAATTTCAAAGAAATTTAAAATTATTAGCCCGCTCCGACAGTAACTAAACCATAAATCGTCTCCGACAATAACTAAACCATAAACTGCAAGTTAAAAGTGAATATGCAAAAATTGTTAGTATTTTTCCTTTTCATAAAATGGCAACTTGGTACTGTAAAGCTGTTGCCTTTTCATAAAATGGCAACTCAATACTATAAATAACTCTTGCCTTACCGAGTCTAGGAAAGAAAATCCCATTATGGATCTACTGTACAGTCTTACCTTGCATTTGCAAGAGGTTGATTCCACGGCTTGAATACAGGATCACCTAGTCACATTGCGACAACTCCCATCTTGGGCAGTTGGATTTTCATATTTCATATAAATGGAAGAGACCTAAGTGAACCTGGATGCTTTGGAAGTTTTCCCTGTAGTGTATAATATATCAACCTGGAAACAGAACTGAACTTTGGTTATATAACTTTTCTTATATATCTATCTTTGGGTTAATTTTTTTCTAATACTTTTTCTTATTGAGTTCTTTTTTTAATCTTACCGAGTCTCTGTCTTTCCTTTTGTCTGTTTCAGGAAGGTGTTAACATCTTGGCTGTCAATTATGGTGCTCCTGGGGCTTGCCCTTATCCCCGGCAGCTGAAGCTTGTAAGTTATGTTTACTTTGGGCAGCTGCACTCATTTCTTGTATTGTTAATTGAATAAGGCTCAACTTAAAACTTTTCGACATATTTTGTTGTCATCTATATTCTCATCTTCTTAACGTCTCTCTTGTTTGCACAAAGGTGATACTTAATACTCCCTCCGTTTTTTATTATAAGTCGTTTTTAACTTTTCACACATATTAAGAAATGTAATTATTATGGTATGAAAAAGAGAAATTATGAAGGATTTTACAAAATAGTCCTTCATTAATGATATTGGAAAGACATTTACATAATTGAAAGGAGAGAGAATAATAAATATTTAAGGGTATAATAGAAAAAATAACATTAATGGTTCAGATATTATAAAACTGGCAGGTGGGATGGAAGTTTAGACTGAAGAAGAGTTACCTTGTTAACATAAATTATTGGATCCAACTCATACTTTGTTTTAAGGAGTAAATTTTTTGTGCAATGAACCCTTCTATAAACTTGGTCTACCTGAGTATTCAATATACATGTCCTGGTTGGTTTTATTTATCTGCAATGCGACAACTTGTCCACGTTCTTAAGAGTAACTGAGTATAGTTCATAACTTGTGCAAACTTAAAAGATGTTGTAAAACCTGATTTTTATACTGTGAAGGCTAATTTCAGACATGTTTTTTTTTCCGGATGTTAGCCTGCAAAGTGGTCTTTCAAGTCACACACGCTTTTGAAGAACACTGAACAGGCACCAAGGTATGTACTATGGTTGACATTTTCTGTCTTTTATAATTATTTCTTACTTAATAAACAAATAATAACAGAAGACAGACATCATACGAAGTGTTCCTTGCAAGGTTGCTTTGAGAGCAATTGGTTATGGATAACTTTCTAAAATTTTGAATACCATTCTCCTATAGAAAACACAGAAAATTTCAAACATTATTTTCTCTCTTCGTCAAACTGAAAATTCAAGTCCGTGTGATGCTGGCTTTTCAAATATTTATTATGGTTTATATAAAGTCTGATTGGATGAAATTGCCAGTGAATAAAGGGCCTTGTCTAGCTTTCATTATTGTGCACAATCATTTTCATTTTGAAGTTTAGGCAGCATAATTTATTTTCCAGTCTGATACATAACTGGCTAGATGGCAGGCTTGACAAATTTTATATGTTTTCTAATCAACCATTATTTCACTTAGTGTTGTCTTATTTCACTTTAGTGCTTATGTAGTCAACTCAACAACCAATCCATTTGGCTTAGAGGAAGATCTATATTTCAGGATTAAAGCTCAGCTCAAACTTAAAAAATTGGGTTATTTGGTGTGATGCCTTGTTCTGGTTTTCATAGGGGATGGAAATAGCCAGGATTCCACAAACTATTTTAATCTTACAATCATTTAGGACAAAGTTGACGAAAATAAGTGGCCGACTGCACTAAGTTTAGGTAATGATTCATTAGAATGAATTGAGATTCATCTTACTGAACAAGAATATATATCTCAATGAGTTTTATAAGATGAGATTCATGTCCAAAGTAGATACACACTAGAAATTCATAATGATTGAGTTTAATTTTTTATCGAATCGAATTACGACCTGCATGTGTTGTAAGATATGGATAATCATTGTTTCATCTTTATGACAAGTTTTTACTTGTGTTACATACTCTGTATTTTCTTAACAAAATATTATTTGTTCAGAACACCAATATTTACAGAAGAGGTATTTGGTGGAGAGGGGATAGAAGGTGAAATTGTACAGCCAATAGAAAGATCCTTTTGGGCTAAATACGTAAGTATACAACATACATGCTGCTGGCTTGATCTTTAAGCCAATTTTTATTTTATTTTAGTTTAATTAAACTATATATACATACTAATTATTTTAAATGGAACCTTTCTTGATATCAGTGGATGTATTTGATCCCTCTCGGACTTGTTATAATGAATGCCGTTACCCAAGCAGCGAATATGCCTGAGGAACAGGCTGCTGGGCAAGCTGGGGCACCACCACAGCAAGGAACTGCAGTACAGAGAGGAACAAATTCTGGTGTGCGTAGAAGATGATAATTTTGGTTTCATCTACCTAAGAAAACATTACTTAGTGAACACTGATCATGAATGAAATTTTAGGTTTTCCTTTTATGTAACATTTTAAAATAATTTAGTTATATGTATCAGTTCTGTATTTGGGAACTTTGAAACAGCAGGGATAAAATTTTCCAGTTAGATTGAGTAATTAATGCCATTTAAATTTTAACACGCAAATCCAGTCTGGTATCCTCTGGTTTTTGTGATGATTCTGTGGTTGTTATATGATGTGAAGAGAAATATTACATAGTTTTTGAATTGTATGAAGTTTATTGGATTGGTTATGTTTTTTGATAGTTTAAACTCAATAGTTTTGTTAGTTAAATTATTTTTCTTTTTTGTGAAGTTGATCATGTCAATTTTGACTCATGTCAACTACACATTTTGAATGATTGTCTTGCAATGGGAATATGGCTAAACGCTATGAATATATCATAGCACAACCTTTTCTTTGTCCGCGATTAATCTTAGTGGATAGATGTTAGCGGAGAATTTTCAATTTCAATTACAGCATTTCTTAATGTATTTTAAATACTTCTTAGTTATCACTCAAAATTATTTAAATCTCTTTAATTTTTAGATATGCATTTTCAGACGTATTTATTTTTGAATAAACGTTTAAATATTTTGGAGAAGTATTTTCAGAATAATTTAAAATATTCAATTTATTTCATTCAGAAGTCATTTACATTTAAATTATATTAGAGATATATCATTGGGAATATTCTGGAGATACATTTTCGAGATATATCATAACAAGTATTTTATGGTATAAGTTGTTTATACGTATTCAGATGAAATATACCACAATTGAAAATAAAAAAATAGACGTACATAATTTTAGATAGACAAAAAATACCATGCAAAAATAAAATATCAATAAATGTCGAAAATATCACACAATCGAGATCAATAAAGTAGTAAGAGCGTCAAAATAAAGTACAGACCATAGTACTACAACTATATAATAAAAGACTACTGTGTGTGTCTGACAATCTCTCATATACCTCTTTTGCCTCGTCTACCTCCTCAGCTATCAATTCCCATATCCTCCGACGATGTCTCCGGTACAACAATGTCACATGTACCTCTGTTATGATGGCATCTAGGACTCACCTGACATCATACCCATAAAGGAAGATAATTTACTCAATGCCTGTCTGCGCAATCTCCATTATGCGACGACACCTAGGCAAGACATCATCAGTATGACCTAGGTGTGTTTGCTCCTCCTTTAGTATCTCCTGATGAGCTGGTCTCGGCGGATCTCATGGAGCAGCATGCACCATATACGAATGTGACACCCTGAAGAACCATATGATGTACCCTTCAACATAACTTCAGTCGCTCTCAGTTATAGTAGCCCGTGCCTCTTTCGATACTAGATGACTCTCATAATCATTAAACATCTCCTCTATCTGTCTACGTGTCGAGGCAGGAGGAGCAGAGACAATATGGTGTTTGGGAATGGTCAGAGTGAGCGAAATTGCCGCATGACGTGCTCAGGAAGATGAGCAGTGAGACGCGATCCGCAACCCAACCATTCAGAGTATAACACTATCTCGTCAAATGAATGGGTCTGACGGTGATCAACATAACTGTTGAAATGCATGTCCTCAGCAACCAAACAATCAAGAGATACTCTGAAAGACTCGGTCACATGGTTCCTTTTGAGCAGAAAAAAAACAGTAGCACACGACATATCCTTAGTGTACTCACGTACACTTACCCAACCAGAGATGCGCGAGAAGTGATGGAGGATCCAAGTCTGAAATGGAAAACTTAGAACACACGAATCATCGGTAATGACTTTGCAAATAAGAAAAAAAAACATTCAAAGACCAATAATTATTACCGTCAGTAGTGTCACGCCGTCTGTGGCCTGCTTCATCTTCCACATACAACCCTCTCTCAACTTCGAATACAGGTATACCAAGTAAGCCGCCCCCAATTGTACTCATGGACCCGCTTGAAATCCACGAAGTACCGTAGGTAGACGACGTCTGTATAAGTGACACTCTTGTTCATAAAAATCGCAATGCCAACCAAATAAAGTAGGTATGCTCTCAATGCATGCGATATGTAGAATGCTACCTACTCAGCATCACCATCAGCCTCCTGTGCTCTAAGGATCTCATCATCTTATACCTTCTTTAAGAATTCAAATCTAGCATGAGCACTCATGTCTTATCCATTTCCTTCTTCGCCTCCCCTAGATCAGCCCCAAGATACTCTACCATCATCTTGAGTGCCTCGTCTTTGATAATCCTCCCATGATCTAGAAATCTTCCCCTGGTCGAAAGATGTAACAAACACGATACATTGTCGGGTGTGATAGACATTTTACCTTGCGAAAGATGAAATGACGAGGTCTCCGAATGCCATATCTCCATGAGTGCATTAAGCATCCTGTGGTTGACCGTAGTGTAACCGGTCATGCACAGGCCCTTCAGGCTAGATAAGGACAAAACCAACTGAAACTCATCTGCATCCTGTTGAGGCAAGGCAAAATCTTCCTCCCATGGTTAAGAGACTTCTGGGGATCACGCTCCTAAAATTTTTCAGAAATAATCAATGTCTGAAATTAAAATTAATATAAAAATAAATAAAGAATCCAACTAATGCCACCTCTCCTTCCCATATATGTCTGACAGTATGGTCTGAATACAGGGGTGTCGTACCCCAAAATTTACCCTTAGATTCATTGACCATTTGCATATCATATAGGTCATTCATCCATGCATAACTAACAGTTTTACCGGTTTCCGTCTTCATATGTGAAATTAGGTTAGCTGTAGAATACCAAGTTATTGGATATCAAGCTATTGCTGATAAGTGGCAGTCTCACCTGAGAAGTTTATCAATTTTCACCGTTGTTGATAAGTGACAGTCTCACCTGAGAAGCTTATCATTTTTCACCGTTGTTGATAAGTGACAGTCTCACCTGAGAAGCTTATCATTTTTATAATTTTACCATTACAGATAAGTAGCAGTCTCACCCAGAGAAGCTTCTGTTACCTTTGTCAGATAAGTGGCAGTCTCACCCGAGAAGCTTATCACCACCATTTTACCGCACCGATAAGTGGCAGTCTCTCCTGAGAAGCTTATCCTATTTTCATTATATCTAACAATAAGTGGCCATCTCCCTTGAGAAGCTTGTTTCCCATTACTTTTTCCAAGATAAATGGCAATCTCTCCGGAGAAGCTTATCATTTTTATCTGTATCCTCAGATAAGTGGCAATCTCTTTATTTGAGAAACTTATCCTTTCTTAGTGGCATATAAGTCCCTTTCAATGATAAGTGGCAGTCTCTCTCGAGAAGCTTATCAGGGCATTTCTCCATTGAAGTCCAATTATGTTGGCATACAGAAGAGTTGTTACCCTGTATATTTCCTGATGGTTCCTGAAGATCCTGTTTGATCTCTTCGTTTAAGGAATTTCCAGAAGGTTGGATGTTATCTCTTGACTCCAGCATTTTGTTTGCACGATCCTACTGCCATGTAGATCTTGCTTTACCTTTTGTCCTAGAGTGTCAATCGGTCATGCTTGAACCTGTTGGGCAACTACTCTGGATATTCCCTAGTGGAGACCGTCTTGCAGGTGCCATCTCCATCGAGGATCTCTTCTTGCATTTCTTTCTAAAGTGCCAACTGGTCATGCCTGAACCTGTTGATCTATCACTTTAATTTCCCCCAGTTTGGTCTGGTTCCCCAGTGCGTTGTCGTTCCCAGTGAGTGGTTACTCGTTGTGTTGACCTCGTCTCTGTTTCGTCTCGTCTGTATTTTTGCATTTATCATTCCACCATGTTCATCATATTAGATTTCATTACACTGTTAACATTTTAGGTTTAGTCTCTTTTGTCCATAACATTGTACGTCATTGCATCTAAGGGGAAAATTTCCGGTTATCTGTATTTAAATACCTTTCACCATGATTCCGCAGAGATTTTCATCGCTCACATCATCCGGTGAAGATATTTAAATAGGGGAAACTGTCGTACCCCAAATTTTACCCTTAGATTCATTGATCATTTGCATATCATATAGGTCATTCATCCATGCATAGCTAACAGTTTTACCGGTTTCCGTCTTCATATGTGAAATTAGGTTAGCTGCAGAAGATCAAAGATCATGGAAGCTTTGTGTGTGCTCCTAGTCCTCGTAAACTTTATTCGAATTCCTGTGATGGCAGAGAAGGATATGCTCTCACACTTTTGGTTTTGTAAGTTAGTATGAGGTCAATTTGCTCTTGGATGTCTCAAAGGCTCCCCGAGGAGGATTGGTTTTTTTCTTCTAAGTTTTAACCTCAAGGATGACCAGAGTTTGGATTTTGGACTACATGATTTGATATTCTGCGGCAAGCCTAATTTCACATATGAAGACGGAAACCGATAAAACTGTTAGCTATGCATGGATGAATGAACTATATGATATGCAAATGATAAATGAATCTAAGGGTAAAATTTGGGGTACGACAAGGGGAAGTAAAGACAAATCATCTGGACCTCCTTCAAAAGCCTCTGGTTCAACATCCGCAAAAGCCTCACCCTCTGAAGGTGGCAATGGACCAACATCATCATCAGTAGGAGGTGAGACTGTATCAACAGCATCATCCATAAGAGGTAGCATTGGTAAATTTTGACGCCTACGAGAGGATGGGGGAAATGATGCGTTAAGAAGATGAAATGGCATGAGGAGACGCACGAGCCCAGAAGTAGACGGCTCTGCCTAACCAGAGGGACCTGGAACCTCAAGAATCTGCTGACTCTTCTCCAGCCAAACGGATACATACTGAGCAACCCTACCATGCCTCAGTCTATCATGTCTATCAATCATTATGCATGTAAGTTAAAGTAAGACTTACTATTAGTTCAGGCAAATAACACACAAGTAAGAAAATATAAAAAAGTTGTAGGAAATTCCGGAGATGCATCTCCGGAATCACCAGGAAACTAAAACATCTCAGAAATTTCCTGC